GGGTGATCCATTCCCGTAATAATAACGAAGTCTACGTATTCAATATTGTAGCACTAAAATCTATGCCTTTTATGCATGCGGGACTTTATCTCGATCCCTAATTAGAGATAAGTTTGCATGTAACACATGTTGTCGGGTAGCCTATTCCCGCAATAATGGCAAAGCCAACGTATTCAACATCGTGACAGGTTGTTATTAATAACGTCAAAATTCATGCCTTGCACGCATGGGGGACTTTATCTCGATCCCTAATTAGAGATAAGTCTACGCCTAATACGCGTTGCCGGTCAGTCTTTTTTCGTGAAAATGACAAAGTCTATGTATTCAAAATCATAGCATCAAGTCTAAGAGGGTTCATTCTCTTAGCACAACATTACATATGAAACCGATTCAAATAATTCACATGCTAACCTGACTCAAACGGTAGTTGGTAAAGGCTTATCAAATCCGTTGATGGCTGAGGGTTTGCCAAAAATCCTATGCATGTTCGTAGGTCCATTAGCTTAATGGATGTGAGCCGAAACTTGAAACAGATGAGCTAAAGATAAGTCTCAAAGACTTAGTCAAAAATGCACGGAAGACACTCCCATGTCTTAAGTCAAAACGCTGAGGTCAGACCCGCGATGCAAAAACCAAACACCGAGGTCATACCCATGTTCCAAATTCAACATGTAAGGGTGAGACCCGCGTCTCAAGTTTAAAATACAGGGTTCATCCTCTGCATTCCAGAAGTAGGATTGTGATGCATACCTTCACACAGGTCCTGCATGGCAAATCTCGTCAACCAAGATACATTCAAAGCGAGTGCAGAAAACGACTCCTTTACGACAAGGAATCAACAGCTTCAAGATCAGAGTTGAGATCCAAAGTATTCCGAAAATTTGTCACATTCAACCGCGAACTTTCAAAAACTTTGAAGGGGGTTCTGTAGGCTGTCTAAAAATCACAATAGATAGCTGATCCCTCATCAAACGTCGATGATGGATGTTACAATCTGACGACTTCCAGAAGGTTACAATTTGAAGATTTTCATATAGATCGATGAAGGTTACAATCTGACGACCTTCACGACAACCGATGAAAGCTCTAATCAACAGCCTTCATAATCAACATCAGGAGTTACAATTTAACGACTCTCATATTTTCAAGGAGCCAAGATGAAGATTACAAGATGGTGATCTTTGCAACGCTCTAGCAAAAGAGACTACAAATCGACGGTTTCTTCAAATTCAGACGCGGAGCTCACCTATGCGTCCCAGATTCAAAACGCATAGCTCGTGGCCACGTTCCAAACTTCCAGAACAAAACGCGGAGGTCCTCCCCGTATGTCAACACCAAAATGCGAAGGTCCTCCCCGCGTGTCAACATCAAAACGTCGGAGTCGGACCTACATTGCAACACCAAAACGAGAAGGTCCTCCCCGTGTGTCAACATCAAAACGTCGGAGTCGGACCTGCATTGCAACATCAAAATGCAGGGGTCAGACCTGTGTTTTTTATGTTTGACTGGTTCAAACAGAACCTATACTGTTTTAAAATTGTATCTCCACTTAATGGGGTCGGTTACACCCCCATTATGGAGAGATTTTAGGGGGGATTGCACCCCTTAAACTCTTGAACAGTTCCAAAACTATTTCCCATGATTTGGGGGTGGTTACACCCCACTTAGGAGTGATTTAAGAGGCGGTTACACCCTCTTAATCCCGTATAAATAAGAAGAAACTCAACTGAGTTAAAGGTTGGAACTTCTTGGCTCGGATTGACCTTGGAGCTTGGCAGCAAAGAGAGGATCTTTGGAGCATTCTCGGATCTAGAGATCGACCACCGGAGCTTTCTTCTGGCCTTGGCTTACTAATCGATTTTCGGTTCAAATCAACTCTTTTACAGAGTTCTTCTAAACTCGTTCAGAGTTCTAAAACTTGCTTTGCAAGTTCTCCACAGCGTCAAACCCTGAGGAGAAGGCATCGTTCCAGTGAAGCAAAACGTCGGATTGTCAACGGAGAGCAAACTCGATGCGAGCATTTGAGGGAGGCACTCCATCGCCACCGTGAAGAACCCAAAATTAAACAAAGGGGAGAATCCAGATTAATTCTCCTCTCTTTTGTAATCAGAAAATCCAATTATAATTGAGGTCAAAGGAATACAAATCAAATTTTTCTTTCATTTCTTTTACTGCAAATTTTCCACAAACAATGAGCTTTGTAGCAGCAACATAGTTCCAAAACTTAGCTGAAAAAATCCCCAAACCCCCTTGTTCTTTCCTTTGACAGGCAGCTTCCCTGTTCACCAAATGAAGTTTTCGTCCCCACAGAAATTCTAAACACATTCTGCCGATTTTCTCTAAAACTTTTATTGGCAATATGTACTTGCTAAGCCAGTAAGTTTGAATGCCCAGAATAATAGATTTGATCAATTCAAGTCTACCGGCATAAGTCAGACATTTCTTTTGTTGCCAGGATTGAAACTGATTGTTGATTTTTCCAATAAGGCTAGAGCAGTCGATGTATGAGAGTCTTTTTGCATTCAGTGGTAAGCCCAGATATTTCATAGGTAGCACTCCCTCAGGGAATTTTAGATAATTGCATATCTGATCTTTAAGGCTATTATTAACTCCACTCAAGTAAACAGAGCACTTGCTGGAATTAGCTACCAAACCAGAGACTTGTCCAAACTCTTGAAGGCATGTAAACATTTTTCCAATAGAGTTCATATCAGCTTTACAAAACAGTAGCAAGTCATCAGCAAAGATTAAATGGTTAATCTTCAATCTGTAACATTTCGGGTGGAATTTGAACGAAGAATCATCTTTTAGAGTATTGAGCTTTCTAGATATGTATTCCATCCCAATGACAAAAAGATAGGGGGAGAGTGGATCCCCTTGTCTCAGTCCTCTTGCACCATGAAAGTAACAATGTAGTCCACTGTTTAAAGATAAGGAGAATTTGGGAGTGGAAATGCATTCCATGATCCAACAAATCATGTTATTAGGAAAGCCTAATCCAATCAACATAATCCTTATGAAATCTCAACTAATAGTGTCGAAAGCCTTCCATAAATCAACATTCAGCATAGCTCTAGGAGAGTTATTTTTCCTACCATAGTGCTTAATAAGATCATGAGCCAACAAGAAGTTACTAGAAATGAGCCTCCCCTTTACAAAAGCACATTGTGCATCATTAATCAGATAGCCCATGATTTTTTGCACCCTAGTAGCAATAACTTTAGAAATGATCTTATAGATGACATTGTAACAAGATATAGGCCGATAATCAGCAGCTGACATAGGATTGAACACCTTGGGAATAAGAGTAATAGATGTGTTATTAAGGGAACCCAAAAGTGTACCTGAGTGAAAGAATTCCTCAACTGCTAGAAATAGATCCTCATTGATAACACTCCATGCAGATTTGAAGAAGTAAGCATTGAAGCCATCAGGTCTAGGAGCCTTGCTGTCAGGCATTGAGAATAATGCTTGTTTGATCTCTTTCCTAGATACATGAGAACTCAGAGCATGCTGTTGAGCAGAAGTTAAAGTAGGACCATTAGAGATTATATTAGAATCAGCAATTGAATTGGCCTTAGTATATCCCAGTAGCTTCTTGTAGTAATTAATGAGTTCTGATGCAATTCCAGGCAAGTCAGAAATTCTAGAGCCATCTGCAGTGTAAATTGACATAATTTTGTTCTGGTGCCTCCTAGATTTCATAACTGAGTGAAAGAAATGAGAGCCCTTATCAGAATGAAGACCCCATTTGATATTTGATTTTTGCCTCAAAAATGAATTTTTATTTTCCAATAATACAGCATATTTCTTAGTGCACTCTTTCTCCTTTGAAATCAAAACAACATTAAAAAGATCTTTGCTCATTTTGGATTGGATATCCAATAGTTCAGTTTGAGCTCTTAGAACTTGCTGGCTTATGTTCATGTAATTCTTCCTGTTGAGGTCCTTAAGAGCATGCTTGAGGCTTTTGAGTTTTGAATAGAATCTGTACATATTATACCCCCTGACATTGTGATTCCAAGCTGACCTCACCACTTCTAAAAAGTCAGGATGTTTAGCCCACATATTGAAATTTTTAAAAGGCTTTTTACCTTCAAAAATGTCATCACCAATAGTGATAAGTCCAGGGGAGTGATCGGAGCAAAGGGGCATCAAATATTCCACTTGACTTGTAGTATAATGGTGAACCCAATCTTGATTGACCAAGGATCTGTCTAACCTACTCCATACTCTTGTTTCAGCATCCTGCTTATTACTCCATGTGAAAAAACACACAATAGTTTTAATGTGACTTAGTTGACTAGATGAGATAAAATCTTGAAAGTCTTCATTTCCAGCACCAGAAGCACCTCCAATTTTTTCATCTCCATTTACAATAGCATTAAAATCCCCACCCACAAACCATGGGCAATCAACAGTCCTTTTGAAAGTTAATAGATCTTCCCAAAGAGTTTTCCTTTCATCATTCATGTTGTGAGCATAAACTACAGTGAAAAGGCATGACAATTTTTCATCCTTAGATTTTATAGCACAGGTGATATATTGATCAGAGGATTTGACCTCTTGAACTGAAAGCATTTCACTATCTCATAGTACCCATATTCTAGCATTATTTGCCAATTGCTTATTTGATATCCACTTCCACTCTTTTGCAATTTTCTTGCCAATAAATTACAATTTCTTATCCCCAGCAATTTTAGTTTCTAAGAGGACTAGAAAAGAAATACTGTACTCTTGAATAAATTTTTTCACTATTCCATGTTTAGAGGATTTGTTAAACCCCCTAACATTCCAAATAGCTAAGTGCATTATTGATAAGTATCCCCTCTATCAGCATTAGAGGGATCCAAATCAAAAATTTGGTGATCAAGAATAGAAAATTGAGAGGCTTCCACTGATGTTCCAGGATCACTCATAATAGGTCCTTTTGTAGTGTTAACTCTAGTGACAAAAGTAAATCCACTTGAATTAATAGGAAGAGAGCAAGAATAAGCTTTCTATTTCACTTTCTTAGCTTGATTGAAATCTGTGCATGTTTTCCCAGTATGCAGAGAAACATGAAAATTATGTGCATGTTTTTCCAGCAGTGCATGTTTTACAGGAGCTGTATCAATTAGAACATTCTTAGATTCTTTAGCAACTGATCCTTGAAAATTTAGCACCACATCCTTATCAGAAAAGATACCCCTCTCTACAGCCTCCCTCACTTCATTAGCAACAATGGAAGGTTTATTAACAGGCTCCCTCACTTCATTAGAAACACTAGGTACAGGTTTATTAGGCACCCACACTCTTTTTTGAACATGTTTCCTGCAGTGCTGAGAATCATGTCCTACACTATTGCAAAAGGAGCACCATCTTGGTTTGAACTCATAAACCACCTTTTGATGATAACTTTTACCATCCGGACCTTGAATTTCAATTTGATCAAGTAGTGGTTCTTTAAAAGGCAAATCAACTTCCAACAAAACCCTTGCATAACTCAATCTTTGTCTTGAGGCAGTTAGTTTATCAGTAGCAATAGGACATCCAATCAAACTAGCAATCTTACTAATTCCAGTGGAACTCCACAAATTCAACCTTAGGTTAGGAAATTGCACCCATATGGGGTACTTTTGGTCTTGTAGCTTCTCTATGTCCATATCAATTGTCCATGGCTTTAAAACAAGAGGACGTGAGCCAAAGAACCAAGGACCATCTTCCAATATCCCTCTCATACTGCTCTCATTTTGGAATTCAAACAGGAATATACCTTGCTTAATCAAAAATACTTTAGGGATGGAAATTTTACCCCAAAGCTTTGTAACATAGGACTCCATAGATTTATACTTAACATTCATCCCAAATACATGTCCAATTAGAGCAAAATTCCAGAAATTTTCCCCTTCTCTCCATTCATCCTCATTAAATGAAACAGTATTTCCTTGGGAAGAAGGAACAAAATTTAGTGATAAACCTCTTCCAGCTTGTCTATTATCTGAAAATAAACTGACGAAAGATTTCTTAACCCCGACACTTCATTATCAATAATTTTGACCTCGTCATCTTTAATTTCCATGCTCTTATTCTTATTTTGAGAAATTTTAACAGATTTTCCTGCCACTTCATTATCAGTAACTTTGACCTCTTCAACTATATTTTCCAGGCTCATATTCTTATCTTGAGTAATTTCAACAGATTTACCTTTAAAGATTCCTTCAAGATTTGGATTAGCATGATCGATCTTATTCTGATCTAGAAAAGGATTTCGAAACTCATCACAAGAATCCACAACAAGATCAAATTCATCAAATTCTTCAACATCATCAGCCCAGGAGTGAGGAGATTTACCTAGCTCATGAGAGATTCGATGATCACCATCAATCTGAAGAGAATCAGACAGAGGATTTGATCTTGCTAGAATCTCAGATAACAACACCTTCTTCTTTGCTCCCTTAGGCCCTGTGCTCTCCATTTCTCGAGTGAGAGGATTCATTGTTACATCCGAATCAACATCCGATACAGTAGAAGTTCCAGCTCCAGAGCCAGCAGAGATTCTAGACGATGAAGGATAAGAGAAGAGAGAATCTCACAGCTCCAAGTTCAGAGTTCCCTTGCTAGCGCTCTTCTTCTTCCTCGATTTCGCCATTCAAATCTAGGCGGAGGCGCAAAGAACGTGTAAGTAGAAAGCAAAAAAAACCAAACTTCTCTCCTTATGGAAGAAGCATCCTATTGAAATACTCCAAGTCAGTGTGCAATTTGTTCTTAAACCAAAAACGAAAAAGACCTTTGTATCTTCCTGTTAGTTCATTATTCAATCATATGAATGACAAAAGCATATATGGAGTGCTTGTAACTACTTGATTTTCTACAAGATTATGTTTCATTACAAAAGCTTGCATCTGATATTGTCTACTTCATACTATATTTGATAGGGAATTCAGATAAAAAGAAAGCAAAGAGGATCAACGGCTCTGCTATATAAAGGCAAGCGGGTTTACTTTCAATCATTCTCAGTGAAAACAAGGCAGAAGTTGGAGAAAATTTCTAAGGGATCGTATATGTTTGGTTGAGTTCTCAGTCTTATTTTGAACTTCCAAGTACTATTTTTGAATGAGCAATGGGTGTATGTCATATTTTTGTCATAGATGTTTCTCCCAAGCTCTTGTTGGTTGGACGTGTTGTATGCTACACTTTTGTATAGTCTGGCAACTTTTGCTTATATTAATATATTTTTGAATAGTGCATCTTGCCCTATTTTATCTTTAAAAAAAACGACAAAAGCATTTATTATAAGAAGAATGGTAAATTACACCAAAACCCACAAAAACTTTCAATGCTTTGCAGTATCAGACTTGCGGCCTCAGCTTTTGGTTGTTTTCTTTTGGCCTATTCTGTTTTTTGTTAGGATTTTGCAGTATCAGACTCTTATTCCTATGAACAACATCTGTTTGTTTGTTTTCTATCATTGCCTTAGTGGATGTAACTTAGTTTGACGGCTTGGTAGGTGACGACAAGGTCCGCTCCTTATCAGCTCGTTCTTACAACGTAATTTCCTCTAGGTTCTTTGGTTTCGGTTGTATCAGACTCTTAGTTCAGTTTC